TGTACTTACTCTTTAATGACGTACATATACAGGTGTACTTACTCTTTAATGACATACATATACAGGTGTACTTACTCTTTAATGACGTACATATACAGGTGTACTTACTCTTTAATGACATACATATACAGGTGTACTTACTCTTTAATGATGTACATTGAAGGTTCCAAGTGTTCCCTGAAGAAGGCAGTGATGGGTAGGGAAACACCGGGTAACACTGAAGTCCATTTATTAAAGGATAGGAGAAATACAAGTGGTGACTAGCGTGTGCCATGCACGGCTCACACAGTCAGACTGAGACTGCCTTGCCATATGGCAGCCTCGGGGCAATGTTGCCACATAACACGTGCAGTGTTGCCACGTAATTATTTACATAGATGCTACTCGGCACAGTAGCTTATATACAAGGTTGCTACTCGGCACAGTAGCTTATATACAAGGTTGCTACTCGGCACAGTAGCTTATATACAAGGTTGCTACTCGGCACAGTAGCTTAGATACATAACCTACATCTCCCTCCCCCCTCACGCTCATAGTCTTTGTCTTGAGCGGACTTCTTAGTCCTGAGTCGCTCCGAGCATCGAGGTGCACTGTGGGGCGGATCCTCGTGAGGTGTAGGTGAATCATCCTCGGTCAGGGGGCCAGCAGCAGGGGGTGGGACTGGCCGGAGGAAGCGGCGGTTCTTCCACCAGACACGGCCGCTCGGCATCCTGACCTTGTAGTCCCGCGACCGGCCGACGCCCATCACTATGCCCACCTTGTCCCAACGTGTCGTCCTCGGGTCCTGGACGCGGACAAGGGCACCAATCTCCAGCGGCTGAAAAGGGCGGGCATGGTCGTCATACCGAGCCTTGGCGTCCTGGGCACGTGTAGCGGCGCGGTGGTCGCAGCTCTCGGCTCTGGTCTGCCCCTCCTTCGCGAAGGCCTTGGCGTGTGCAGGAACGCAAGAGCGGAGAGGGTGACGATACAGGATCTGGGCAGGGGAGCGTCCTGTGTGGGTGGGAGTGGACGCGGGTTCTGGGCAGCTCTGTGCGGCAGCGCCAGGCGCGTCTCTCGTTGATTCACACACCCTGCTGGCGGTGTACCGAGCAGCTGGGATCTGCTCAGGAAAGTCTCTGGGCACCACACCTTACTCCTTGCAGTGCTCCCACGACAACAAGGGTGTAGCGAGAGTAGGCTGCACGTCCATCCATCCGTGACATGACCTGTCGCCGCAGGTGATCTCTGCTTGAAAGGAGCCCACAGCGTCCGGAATCTGGGAACTGTCCGCATTGTAGTACTGCAGCTGCGGCGGTGGTCCCAGGTCGCTTTTGGTGAGGCACAGTTTCTGGAGGTGCTTCAGGCCTATCACCGTAGTATCAGCGCCGGTGTCCGGTATCACCTCGATGTGACCCGACACATCACCGTGTGTGACGGCGACGCGGATGGTAGGGGAAGGGGTAGCCCTGGGGCGTGTGGTCGATTCCACCCTCCTGATGTGACTCAGCTGCTGCTTGGGGCTGTGTAGGCCATCTGAAGGGGGATGCGTGCGAACCACCCCGAGGGAAGTGCGCTGCTTTCCTCCTCATCTCGGCAGCACTTGTCGTAGTGTCCATAACGACCGCAGGCCTGACACTTGCGGCCTCGTGCAGGGCACCTGTCTGTGTTAGACCAGTGGCCCTTACGGTCACATCCACGACACAGTGCGTCGGCGGCCGGGCATGTCTTGGGGCCATGCTGCTTTCCACAGCTGCCACAGGAAGCACTAGGTGGAGGCGTGGAAGAACGTGCGGCAGCCTTCACGTTGTTGCCCGCCTTCTTATCCTTCTTGTATTGTGAGATAGCTCTCACAGCAGGTGGGGCCTTTAAGGCAGAGGTGGCGGACTTGGTGGCCTCGTACGACCGACATTCAGTCACTACCATCTGGAGTGTGGAGGAAGCGTCCAGGGGGATGAGTCGCTGCACCAACTCTTCGTGCCTGACACCTGTCAAGATCCCGTGCTTGATCCAGGCTTCCTCACATTCCCGGCTGTGCGCCTTGCAGACGTCGATCTCCTCTGACAAACTCTTCAAGCGTACAAAAAAGTCGTCAAAGGATTCGTTCTCTGCCTGCTTGCAGCTGGTGAAGGCGCGGCGACGCAAAGCCTCGTTATTCCGACCTTTAACGTGCTCCTGTAAAAGGTCGAGCACATCCGTCACTGAATATGTAGAATCGGGAGGCACTTGCAACGTGTGCTCCAAAACTCTCTGGGTCTCCAGCGACAAACACATCCGCAGTTGTATGAGCTGTTTGTTTGGAGGCATGCTGTCAAGGTCCACCATCGTGGAGTAATCTGTCCACCGCCGCCTCCACTCACGAAAAAGCTGAAACGTGACGTCTGGTGAGAGGGCGGGTGGGGTTTGAACAGATGCCTTGGGAGCTGTTGGAGTAGCAAGAGTGCCTGGAGGACGCTGGTGTGGTGGAGGAGGGAGGGTACTGGCGCCTTGGTGCGCGAGTGAGGGAGGGTGGGTTAGCGCCAGGGTCGCCAATATTGCATCAAAGCGCGCCTTTTCCTCCTCTCTTCGTATCTCCTCCCTCTGAAATTCCATCTCTCTATGTCGCTCGTCCCGGTCGTCCATCCACCTCAGAATTGTGGCAATGTCTGTCACTGGAGGTGGAGGATGAGAGTCTGCACCCTGTGGAGGGGAAGGTGGTGGGGAGTCGTGTCTCCCATCTTGACGTTGTCCCTTCTTACCGCCCATCTTAGTGTGTGCGTGGACTGCACTGTTTAGTACATAAAGTGGCGCCTCAACAGCTCGAACCACATATATATGACATAAACAGCGCAAAAATAACGCATAGAGTCCACTGTTCTGTCCGTGAGTGAGTGCGTGCGTGCGTGTGTGTGTGTCTGAGACAGCAGATGCACTTCGTGGTGGGCTTAATGCCGGTGGCTAGAGCCGCCACGGGGGTGAGAACGTTAGTGCCTGCCCGGATGTCACACGAGAAGGGTGTACGTCTGCATGCTCCGTGGGTACCACAAAAAAAGAGGCCAATGCTCAACTCTCAGCTCTAGACACACTAACACTGCCACCATCACTAAAAAGCACTGTCACGGCCCAACACTGCACATCGCGGCGAAACACAACACAACACACACAACACATGAAGAGTCGACACGCACATCACATCGCCGGCAGTCGCACATCGCCGGCTAACTGTCCATTGTTCACACACTTGTAAGTCCACAGATCCTAGTCACTGCGCCATGAAGGTTCCAAGTGTTCCCTGAAGAAGGCAGTGATGAGTAGGGAAACACCGGGTAACACTGAAGTCCATTTATTAAAGGATAGGAGAAATACAAGTGGTGACTAGCGTGTGCCATGCATGGCTCACACAGTCAGACTGAGACTGCCTTGCCATATGGCAGCCTCTGGGCAATGTTGCCACATAACACGTGCAGTGTTGCCATGTAATTATATACGTAGATGCTACTCGGCACAGTAGCTTATTTACAAGGTTGCTACTCGGCACAGTAGCTTAGATACATAACCTACATACATATACAGGTGTACTTACTCTTTAATGGTGTACATATACAAGTGTACTTACTCTTTAATGATGTACATATACAGGTGTACTTACTCTTTAATGATGTACATATACAGGTGTACTTACTCTTTAATGATGTACATATACAGGTGTACTTACTCTTTAATGATGTACATATACAGGTGTACTTACTCTTTAATGACGTACCTATACAGGTGTACTTACTCTTTAATGATGTACAATTGTACATATACAGGTGTACTTACTCTTTAATGACGTACATGTACAGGTGTACAGTACTTACTCTTTAATGATGTACATATACAGGTGTACAGTACTTACTCTTTAATGATGTACATATACAGGTGTACTTACTCTTTAATGACGTACATATACAGGTGTACAGTACTTACTCTTTAATGATGTACATATACAGGTGTACAGTACTTACTCTTTAATGACATACATATACAGTTGTACAGCACTTACTCTTTAATGACGTACATATACAGGTGTACAGTACTTACTCTTTAATGACGTACATATACAGGTGTACAGTACTTACTCGTTAATGATGTACATATACAGGTGTACAGTACTTACTCTTTAATGACATACATATACAGGTGTACAGTACTTACTCTTTAATGATGTACAACAGGTGTACAGTACTTACTTTTTAATGATGTACATATACAGGTGTACAGTACTTACTCTTTAATGACGTACATATACAGGTGTACAGTACTTACTCTTTAATGACGTACATATACAGGTGTACAGTACTTACTCTTTAATGATGTACATATGCAGGTGTACAGTACTTACTCTTTAATGATGTACATATACAGGTGTACTTACTCTTTAATGATGTACATATACAGGTGTACTTACTCTTTAATGATGTACATATACAGGTGTACTTACTCTTTAATGATGTACATATACAGGTGTACTTACTCTTTAATGATGTACATATACAGGTGTACAGTACTTACTCTTTAATGACGTACATATACAGGTGTACAGTACTTACTCTTTAATGATGTACATATACAGGTGTACAGTACTTACTCTTTAATGACATACATATACAGTTGTACAGCACTTACTCTTTAATGACGTACATATACAGGTGTACAGTACTTACTCTTTAATGACGTACATATACAGGTGTACAGTACTTACTCGTTAATGATGTACATATACAGGTGTACAGTACTTACTCTTTAATGACATACATATACAGGTGTACAGTACTTACTCTTTAATGATGTACAACAGGTGTACAGTACTTACTTTTTAATGATGTACATATACAGGTGTACAGTACTTACTCTTTAATGACGTACATATACAGGTGTACAGTACTTACTCTTTAATGACGTACATATACAGGTGTACAGTACTTACTCTTTAATGACGTACATATACAGGTGTACAGTACTTACTCTTTAATGACGTACATATACAGGTGTACAGTACTTACTCTTTAATGACGTACATGGCAAAATTCTGGTAGATACAGAAGACAGCCACGCACAGGTCGGCCACAGCCAGGTTGGTCAGGAAGAAGTTGGTATGACTCCTCATCCTACGGTGAAGCACCATCACCAACACCACCAGCAGGTTACCTGGGGAGAGGTAAGTTATCATCAACATGGAAGTACAGGTGTATCTCTCCAGCAACTAGTTCATTTAAAAAGAAGTTCTTTATTTTCTCTTTTCCAGCAGAGATTATGTACTTGACCTCATAATGACATGCTTCCATACACCACTGTTCTTTAGTAATATTTATGTTCTGCAGTTTGACAGTAGATGGCTCTGCTATGAAAGCTTCAACATTAAAATTCTCCATTTCAAAAAGATACAAAATTTAACGTATTGATTAGGACCAGGGTTTTTCAGCTAAGAACTTTGCTCCAAAGTAGAATAATAGATCTATTACATGTTTTTTTTTTCCCGGGAACAATATATTTTTTTTAATAATGTCATAAAAAGGGTGTAACATCATTTTTTTTCATTAATATATCATACATTTAATTACATAGTTGAAAGGAAATTCTGAGATATATTTTCTAAAAATCCTTGCATTCGAATGTTAATATTATTTTTCGAAATTATAACTTAGATTAGTATTTAAGTTTTCAGGAAATAGCTTAGGTTTATTTATTTTTTATGGGGAATGGTCCACCCGGGCACAGGTCATCGACCAACAACGGGGTCTGGTGGCGAAGAATAATGAGAGGAAAAAAAGAGTATGTTAATCTACACCACGAAGATGCCGGAAAACTATTTTTTTTACGTGAGGCAGATTGTAAGTAGGATGGAAGCACAGAAGAAGGCAGAGCATTCCACAGTTTGGCTGTGTGAGGAAAGAAGGATATACTATAACGGGTTATTATAGTGTGACCGACAGGCACAGCGGGCAGGACCAGTGTTACGAGCCCACGGCCTTGCCGGCGGTACACAGTATGCCAAATCCACCGAACATTGCCCATTAAAGTACCTGTAAAAGAGAGAGAGTGAAGCAACATTGCGGCGAAGAGAAAGGGAGGAGAGATCATTGACTAAAGGAGGAGAGTTAACAGGACAAAATGACTTTGATACCATCCTATCTAACAGTTGGACAGAAGAGGAGCCACACCAGATATGAGAGCAGTATATGACCGATCAAGGAATTTTTTTTTTCTGTTTTGCTGGCTCAAATTATTTTTCTTCTCTTGTATATTTTTATATTCATTTTCAGTAGTAGTGAACAGGCCCCAGTCACCAACTGCCTTCGGTCTGCTTGTACACGCCAATTTTCGCAACACTTTCCTTCTACTGCGCTTCTGACAAGCATATTCACCAGTTAGTATAAGTTTTCTACCATACATGCGTTGGCTGGCTACTTAATGCTACATTTTATTTATGATGGGAAAAGCCAATTCACACAGTCTGTCTCATAAAGGTTGAACAATAAATATAATGAGATGACAGACCTTAGAGGTACAGTCGCTCAAAAAACTATCTTTACTGGGGAGGTCGATGAATTTCATGAACACTGTGACTCTTGTTGTCTCGGTAGGGTTGACAAAATTCCTCGTCGTTCATAATGTCTAAAATAATTTTGTAAAGATGGTTTTTTGAACGACTTATTCGTTAACACTGTGTTACGAACCACGCCATCAATTGTCATGGTCTACCTACCCAGCACTACGAACCACGCCATCTATTGTCCTGATCTACCTACCCAGCACCACGAGCAACGCCATCTAGGGACGAAACCCGAGTATGACTACTCTTAGTTACCACTCCGGGTTTTCCCTTCTCCATATCCTGGTTGTTGCGTCACCTCCTCAAAGTCTTCCTCATCAGCTCTAGTTGGATGAGAGTTCACTTCACTCTGGGAAGTGACCACAGGATCACCTATCCTGGAAACCTGCTGCACAGTGACTACCTACCGTCTTCTACAATACTCAGCCTTACTCGTCAGCCATCTCAGCTCCGCACTTAAGTATTTGTAATCTTGTATTGCCTCCCCACCTCCACCTTGCTTCAAATTATTGTATGTTGTATAAATATGTATATACTGTTAATGTTTAGGTTAAGTATGGTTTGGCTTTTCTAATGCTCCGGCCACATTCCAGAGGGCAATCAATTACCTGATTCAGGACCTAGGTGGGACGTTCGCCTACCTGGATGACCTGGTGGTGGTGTCGAACGGCTGGAACGAACATCTGGTGCGTTTAGAGATACTGTTCGCACGACTGCAAGAGACTGGATTCACCATAAACCTGGCTAAATCTGCTTTTGGCCGGGCCTCAGTGACTTACCTGGGACATATCGTTGGGCATGGTATGGTGAGACCCAAGGACGCAAACGTTAAAGCCATCTTGTCCTTCCCCACTCCCAGGACGAGGAAGGAACTCATGCGCTTCCTGGGGATGTGCGGCTACTACCGTCGGTTCTGCAGTAACTTCTCCAGCGTGGCCGGACCCCTCACAGACCTTACCAGTTCTGCGGTCCCTTACATCTGGAACCAGAGGTGCGACCAGTCTTTCCACCGCCTCAAAGCCTTCCTTGCCTCCAAGCCTGTAGTCCACCCCCCTGACTACACCTTGCCCTTCCATCTGCAAATCGACGCTAGCGGTGTCGGAGTGGGGGCTGTGCTCCTACAACCCGACCCAACCACTGATGTCCTTCACCCTGTGGCATACTACTCCGCCAAGTTGAAAAAACATCAGACCAACTACTCGACCATAGAGAAGGAGGCCCTGGCTCTGGTGTTGGCAATAAAGAAGTTTGAATGTTACCTCCAGTCTTGCCCACAAACAACCCTAGTCTTCACTGACCATAACCCACTCACGTTCATCCAAACCAACAAGACCTCCAACCAGCGAATCCTCCGCTGGGCTCTCCTCACCCAGCCCTATAAGCTACAAGTCCGGCACATAAAGGGGGTGGACAACCTGATTGCGGACTCCTTATCCCGAGCTCCAGTGGAAATGCAGCAGCTACTCTCCAGACGCACCAGGTGATCACCTCCTTCGCGCCCGCGCTACGGAGGTCTTTGGAGGGGGGTGTTACGAACCACGCCATCAATTGTCATGATCTACCTACCCAGCACTACGAACCACGCCATCTATTGTCCTGATCTACCTACCCAGCACCACGAGCAACGCCATCTAGGGACGAAACCCGAGTATGACTACTCTTAGTTACCACTCCGGGGTTTCCCTTCTCCATATCCTGGTTGTTGTGTCACCTCCTCAAAGTCTTCCTCATCAGCTCTAGTTCGATGAGAGTTCAGTTCACTCTGGGAAGTGACCACAGGATCATCTATCCTGGAAACCTACGGCACATTGACTACCTACCGTCTTCTACAATACTCAGCCTTACTCGTCAGCCATCTCAGCTCCGCACTTAAGTATTTGTAATCTTGTATTGCCTCCCCACCTCCACCTTGCTTCAAATTATTGTATGTTGTATAAATATGTATATACTGTTAATGTTTAGGTTAAGTATGGTTAAGGGTAAATTATAGAAAGCTGAATATTTTTTTAAGGAATTTATGGTACTTTATTATACACAACAAAAACTCGCATCCTTTGTCTACCCTTTTATAGTCCGATTGTCTTTGTTTTTTTATTGTTGTTGCCTGTTGGGATCTGGGTAGACTTTTAACTATATTCTAAATCCCCATCTCGTAACAACTGGTTCTAAAATGTTTTAATTCACTATCGAGAAAGGATACTGTATTAAAAAAAAAGAGAGATTCTGTTTCAGACTTGTGGTTTTCATCGTGTTGGCCACAGACGGATAACTCTGCCTCCACTTCACCATGTCTCGCTTAACATCCCAAAACCATATTTGCAGTTATCTTTCTCTAACTTATTTCCCCACAAGAAAACAAATCAGGCGATATTCTAATCTCTAGTAAATTCACATTAAATACTAAACATAGTTTTGGCCCCTAAAAGTGAATATTCAATCACCTTGAAAAAATAATGTTACAGGACTTTAAGTTCCCTGGTGTTATTTTTCTCCCGCCTCCCGTATCTTCGGATATCCTGGCATCATCCCAGTGAATCCTCTTCTTGCTGCAGCTTCTACCAGCACGCTCGCCAGACTTTTCCCTCCCTCACACCTATTCTTTGTTCCCTATACTTGCTCTCTCTTTTTCACGGCAAGCAGAACTGTCACCACCTCTCATCATCATATTCTTCCTGAGGTATTACAGTGGTGCTGCTCCTCGTGTTGACATCTCATTGGCGTTTCAATGTTCCTCTTCAGCCATGAATCATATTTTAATTCTACCTGTCTCTTAACCCACACCTGTCCTGTTTGCCCCACACCTGGCTTGCTCGCCCCACATCTGCCTAACTCGCCCCACACCTGCCTTACTCACCCCACACCTGCATTGTTCGCCCCGCACCTACCTTGCTCGCCCCGCACCTACCGTGCTCGTCCCGCACCTACACTGCTCGCCCCGCACCTACACCCTCCTGCCTGCCCCACCCACCCTTGCTCTGCCCCACACCCACACTGCTCTGCCCCACACCCACACCTGCCTGCCCCACACCCACACCACTGCTCCGCCCCTGCACCCACACTGTCTGCCCCACACCCACACTGCTCGCCCAGCACCTACACTGCTCGCCCTCACTAACACTACTCGCCCTGCACCTACACTGTCTGCCCCTCACTCCACCTTTGCTCTGCCCCACACCTACACTGCTCACCCCACACCTACACTGCTCTGCCCCACACCCACACTGCTCTGCCCCACACCTGGCTAATTGCTGGTTCTGCACCTAGACTGTTCTGCCCCACACCTACACTGCCTGCTCCAGCACTCAAGCACTGCTCGCTCCTGCACCCACTTTTGCTCTGCCCTGCACCTACACTGCTCTGTCTCTGCACCTACACTGCTCGGCCCTGCACCTACACTGCCTGTCCCTCACCTACACTGTCTGGCCCACACAGCTACACTGCCTGCCCCACACCTACACTGCTCGCCCCACAGCCACACTGCCTGCCCCACACCCACTGCCTGCCCAGCACCCACACTGCTCGCCCTCACCTACACTGCTCGGCTCAAGACCTACCTTTTGCCTGCTCCTGCGACCTACCTTTGCTCGCCCTGCACCCACACTGCTCTGCCCCTGCACCTACAATGCTCACCCTCACCCACTGCTCTCTGCCCTGCACCCACACCACTCGCCCAGCACCTACACTGCTCGCCCATCACCCACACTGCTCGTCTCTGCACCTACACTACTCTGCCCCTCAACCACCTTTGCCTGCCCCACACCTACACTGCTCTGCCCCACACCTGCACTGCCTGCCTGCACACATACACTGTTCACCCCA